AATGATACATGTTTGATTTAGGAAGAGAATTCTTATATTTTTTTTGCCGTGGTGATGTTTTCATTTTAAGATTTGTATAATCAATACACGTACACTTGTTGCATATGTCAACAAAAGCATATTTTATTTATTTTTTATTTTAATTTTTTTTAGCATGCAAGCATCTGTTATGTCTGTCTTACCAATGTTAAAACAAAGAGATCCTCATTGTAATCAGATTAGAGGCTGCAAACATGATGAAGCCATATGGTTCTTACATTCATCTAAAATTGGAATTATGAATCCATATTTGTGTCTTTAGTAAAAATACTGCATGCAAAAATAAAATAAACACAATTTAAGGAAAAAAAAACATCCATAATTATCTGTATGGGTGAAAATTAAATACACTGCTCAAAAAAATTAAAGGAAGACTTTGAAAACACATCAGATCTCCGTGGGGAAACATTTCATGCTGGATATTTATACTGATATGGACTGGGTAATGTGTTAGGAGCGTAAGGATGCCCCATCATTTGATGGAAATGTCAACCTACAGAGGACTAAATTCAAAGACACCCCGAAAATCAAAGTGATAAAATGATGCAGCAGACTAGTCCATTATGCTGAAATTTAATTGCAGCAACTCAACATGGTACTCAATAGTTTGTATGGCCCCCACGTGTTTTCTGACAATGTTGAAACATGCTCCTAATGAAATGATGGTTGGTGTCCTGGGGTATTTTCTCCCAGATCTGGACCAGGGCATCACTGCGCTCCTGTACATGGTCATGCTGAATGATGTTACAGGCAGCTTAACATTCTCAATGGCTTCTCCAGACCCTGTCATGTCTGTCACATGTGCTCAGGGTGAACCTGCTCTCATCTGTGAAATGCAGAGGGCCCCAGTGGCAGACCTGTCAATTCTGGTGTTCAATGACAAATGCCAATCAAGTTCTATGGTACCGGGCAGTGAGCACAGGGCCCACTAGAGGATGTTGGGCCCTCAGGCCACCCTTATGGAGTCTGTTTATGATTGTTTGGTCAGAGACATTCACACCAGTGGCCTGCTGGAGGTCATTTTGTGGGGCTCTGGCAGTGTTCATCCTGTTCCTCCTTGCACAAAGGAGCAGATACCGGTCTTGCTGATGGGTTAAGGACCTTCTACGGCCCCGTCCAGCTCTCCTAGAGTAACTGCCTGTCTCCTGGAATCTCCTCCATGCTCTTGAGACTGTGCTGGGAGACACAGCAAACCTTCTGGCAATGGCACATATTGATGTGCCATCCTGGAGAAGTTGGACTGCCTGTGCAACCTCTGTAGGGTCCAGGTTTTGCCTCATGCTACCAGTAGTGACACTGACCCTTGCCAAATGCAAAACTAGTGAAAAACAGTCAGAAAAGATGAGTAGGGAAAAAATGTCAGTGGACTCCACCTGTAAGACCATTCCTGTTTTGGGGGTTGTCTCACTGATGTACATCTAGTGCACCTGTTGTTAATTTCATTAACACCAAAGCAGCTGAAACTGATTAACAACCCCTTTTGCTACTCAGCTGACTAGATCAATATCCCAGGAGTTAATTTGACTTGATGCTTGATGCTATACTCTGATTAAAAAGTGTTCCTTTAAAAAAAAAAAACTGTAACAGATGCTGTCATGCCAGACGGGATATAACAGAAGTTAAAATCTAAAAAAACAAGATAATTTTTTTTAGTTCTGGTTTAGTGCATTAAAGATTATGCTTAATGATTTTAAAATATCACTTTATAAAAATAATTTTTTAAAAATGGTGTCAATGAAATATTAACAGAAAAATATATTACAGAAAAAAGGCAGTAGACAATAGGCAACAGTAACTTTCTTAAAGTGGTTGTAAACGTCAGACATAAAAAAAATTAATCGAGAGTGCAAAATCTGGTGCAGCTCTGCATAGAAACCAGCTCCATTTTTTTTTTGTAAAAGCTTAATTGAACAAGCTGAAGTTAAACAGTGATTGGCTACCATGCACAGCTGCCCCAGATTTTGCACTCTCCAGTTTTAGTAAATCAATCCCTAAGTGTCATTTCTGTCTGCTGCTTCTTTCCTCTGCTATCAGCATGAATCATTTCTGACAGGTTTTCCTGACACCAAGAGAAAAATGGTGACAGGGGAGGGACTTCCAGCAGATTAATAGTCATAGCTTTTTTTGTGAGCTGTGTAGAGGGGAGTGTTTCTCTTTCCTCCAATCAGCTCTTAGAGTTCTCTTCAATAAGCTCTGCAGAATGTAATTTCAGTTCTCTGCCCCCTTTTTTTTAACTCTCAGACAAGCTTTATAAATTCAGCACGTTGAGCAGATGTAGAAATGAGAAGACTGCAGATAGATAGGTACAACTTATGTAGGAGGATTTTGTTTCATCTCTGTGTATCACCTGAGGCCAGTCACTTCACAAGGTATATGTAAGGGCTTGCAACCACTTTAAAGTAAGAAATACAAAGACAAAAGTACAAAAATAACCCCCAAACATATAGTAATAGAGGTTACGCAGAACCCCCTGCCTCCCACAAACAACCCCCCCCCCCTTACCCCTCTATGTGGTTAAGCACACCTGACCATCCTGGTCTGAGGAGGGGGGCTGAAGGGTGTGGAAGCTTTCTAAGGTAGTCAGCAGGCCCTCCTTCAGATACAGTTTTCTTACTGGACCAATATTCCCTTTGATAAAATGTTACAATCTTAAACCTGTGTCTCTCCAAGCAGAGGCTATAATCTTTTCCTTCCAGTGTCCAGGAGGTGGGAGCAGGTGTCCATTCACACAGAAGTTTATGTTAGACCATGTGGCTCTCAGCCAGTGGCCTTCCGCCCTTCCGACCACATCTCCCTGATGTGGTTTGCCCCACCAACAGGGGCTTGGGCACAAACTGAGGCAACATAATCTAACATATTCTAAGATAACAGAGTCCAGATTTGAGCGGCGTCTCACATCTTAAATCTAACACCCCAAATTTGATCATGCATTAATATATCACGTTTTAAACAAAATTAACTTGGTATATCTATTATGTAAAAAATAAAAATACAATTGGCGCAAGAGAATTTGTAGTGGATATAACATTCACTCAGTAAATCTTAAACAAAATAATCCAGTAAACAGAAAGTGAGATATATAATTATATGCTAGTAATAAAAGGACAACAAGTAAATGATGCAGCTTTAGTGGTGAGGAAAGGGAAGGGGGGAGGGGAGGGAAAGGAGGGGAAAAAAGACTTGTAATGCAAACAGTACTGGATTGAGATAGATGGTATATATATATGTATACATATATATACAAAGCTGCAATGTAGACACCATCGTGAGGCTTGCACTTTCTAGAGTAAACCGGACTCTGTGGTAAATAGAGAAAATAGAGAAGTGCGCCAGACTAAGTGCAGTAGGAATATAACAGTTCTCAGAGGTCTGATGAAAAGGCAGGTTGCCTAGAAACGTGTCACCCCCCCCTGGAGGATTCCCAGCAACGTCCTGACGTCATTTCCTGCCCGGCGGCCATCTTCGATGTGCCTCAAGCTGGCTCCTATACCCACGCTGATGTGAGAGATCAGCAGTGCCTGCCCTGGATCCCGGTTCTTATCTGCGCCGCGACTCCCGGTTACTGCGCCTGCCACCCTCGCTTCCTCCTGTGGGACCCGCCTAGAGCGCCAGCAGCGCAATATCTTGGCATTGCAGCCATCCATTTGTGAGGTGCAGCACAGATGACATCCTCCTCCTTATATATTGATGCCTGATATCTATCCACTTCTTGTGAGTTTTTATAATCTTGTGTGCAATAAACTGTTATATTCCTACTGCACTTAGTCTGGCGCACTTCTCTTTTTTTTCTATATCTATTATGTGTGGCTCCCTAAAAAATTATAAGGTGTCTTATTTTCCTCTGCACCTAGCAATATAGGCAATTTAAAATGATTTAAATTGTCTTAAAATGATTGCAATATTTTTAATACTTGCAAGTGAATGCTCCACATTAATGTAAACTGATCATCCAAAGAATTATGATACATTATACTATACATACATTTTGGCTCTTCAGTGAGAGGTAACAGTTGAGAACATGCCTGCTAAAATATTTATGATATATCATAAAACCTTGCTAATTGGCCTGAAGAACTAGAAGGTTTTTCAATAGCCATTTAAAGGTATGGACATTTTAATTCCCGGAATGCCTGCAGTGTAGCACTATTGTAGCGGGTCAGACAGCCATTCGTACTCTAGCATGTACTGACATGTTCTAACTTGCACTTGCCTGGGTTGCAGACCAGTTGACTTAGTCTGAATAGAGTAGTAGAAGAAATTACACATGTGTGCATTGCACTGCTGGCAGAAAATGAGTGACAAGAATTTGGAGCAGCGGATTAACATCAAACTTTCCACTGAAAACTGACAAAAGTGAGAGCGAAACTGTAGCTCTGTTACAATAAGCTTATGGTAAATATTCCATGAAGAAACCAAGTGTTTTATAATGACATAAGCTGTTTAAGGAGGGGTGGAACGATGATGGAGGAAATGGGCAGCCAAAAACGCAAAGGATGGATGCAAATATGGGAAAAACAGGGAAACAGTGCAGCAGATTCTAATAGAGCATTTGTGAATGAGAAAAATTTCTACAAAGATCAAATATATACAAAAATCAGAGAGAATGTTGTCTTCAAATTTCATCCGATCTTCTGAAAAACGATGAGTTGTTTGATTGGGTTATTACCAGTCTGTTCCGTGAATGAAGTTGTCACATCTAATATATGATTTTTCTAAGCCCTGTCTTGATCTATACAATGGGTAATTAACCTGTCAGGGTCCTGTCCACGGCAGAAGTTCTGGAAGACCTGGCATTTCTGACAGTACCCTGCATGGCCACAGAAGCATGCATCAGCCTCAGTTTGGTGTCAGATGGCCTTTATAAGGAGGCTCATCACTTCCTCAAGTTGCTAGATGATCTCTAGCTCCCGGTGCCTTGTTCCTGTTTCCTGTGATTGTGACCTGTGATTTCCTGACACCGACACAGCTTGCTCCTGGACCTGTCTACTCTGCTTTACCCTTGATCTGACCTCGGCTTGGCTTACGGATACTCTCTCCTCTGTGTATGACCTCGGCTACCAAGTAAACATCTAAATCCCGGAAAGGCTTGCATACCACGCACAGGAGCCTCTTGTCTGCAGACCTATCCCCGTGCACCAGCTGTGCTTCTGAGTGGACTACCAACCAGCACTCCTACAGGCAACTTGTGCAACTTTGGACCTGACTCCTGCTGTCTTACTCTAAGGGGAGTCCAGAACTTAGCCACAAGAGAAGTCCTCTCTCCATTGGCCTCCATCACCAGGTACGTGATATAACCATTAAGTAGTTTCAGCGTTTTGTCTAAGCCCTGACTGTTTAGACTACTGCTAAAAGATCATAATGGCCTGTTTTGGAAACTCCTTTGAAGCCTAAAAAAAGCCTCTTGTCTGTGTATTTGCTTTGATTGTTTTCTGCTGCTAGTGGCTGGGCTGTGTTGATGGAAGTCTGATTTGTATCTCTGAACTGACTACTCAGTCTGAGAACTTGATGGCTAAATATCAATTTTGAATATGTCAACCCATTCCCCAGAACTCATTGTCATGACACCTCACTCCTATGAGGTTATATGGAAGGAATTGCAAGTTCCTTCCCAACACAAACAGCTGCTGGCTCAGCTTAGCGTATTGCCATGGGTTCTTCCGTTGTTGCCCTGTATAGTAAAATCATTTGGTGAAGAATTAAGTTCCACTTGAGTAGTTTTCTGAGCAGGCTGTGATAAATAATCACCATGTCTGCACCCAAAGAGATACCACATGATCCCAAGACTCTCTTTCTCAACTTTTTTCTACACGTCCCAGCCAACTGTCCTGTGATAAATGAGGATGGCAGCTGAGGCTCAACAGAGGTGGAGTCCACTGAATCAGAGCAAGACAAGAACCATACCCCTGCGCTGTTACCAAAGACTGAGTCTCAGCTGCCTTGGCAGGAAAAATGCATAACCATTAAATTAAAGATTTTCAACATCAGTTATACATGTAATGGACAACTGAGCATACAAGATGGCCTCCTGTCCTTCCCCAAGAGAAATTTGCATTTCCACCACACTTTCCTTCTGCCTCTGTCAATCCCCAAATTGCCTTGATGTAAATCTTACACCTTTACACAGTAAGAAATTGGTATGTCCAAAAGGTCCAGATGGTGAATCTTGGGTGTCAGCTACAGACTAATAATTTGAAAACTGAATCTCCACATCTAACTAGACCAGCATGGGAATACTATCAGAGACTCCAACCTCTATCTTCCCACTTCCTTCACCCCCAAACAAAGTAAACCAATTCATGGGGCACACAAGAATGGGTTCCCCCAATTAGGTTGATGGTAAGTAACATTTTTGGATGAAGTCTTATTTTTCCACCAACTCAAGGCAAACTAGCGCAATGTTTGTGCTGGTGTCTCTGAAGCCAGTTACACTTCATTATTATTCATGGCAACAGGCTTGTATTGTTGCCCCTCACTTTCCCACAAATGAACAGCACAGATGAATGGTGCTGGCTAGCTGAGAGATGATGTTGGCTTCTTCTGCTCAGGACATTTGCTCCTGAGCTGTTCAGGCTTGTCACAAGTGTAGCATATGTGGCTGATGCCATTTTTTTACTGGAAGCTCTTGGTGCTGGCCACTGGGCAGGTTGGTTGACAGATGTAGCAGGTGTTGCTCTTGGTGATTTCCCTCCTCTCCAGCCTTTAAGTGGAGTGGAAGGACACTCCAGAAAGTGTGGGTTTCAAAACAGATTTTAATGAATGATTCCACAGCAATGAAGCAGAGTATGGTTTAGAGGTATGATCAGAAGAATAAATATTTAATTTCTTCTGTACAGGTAAATGATCTGCTGAGATCTCTTTTTAGTGACAGGGTGAATGAAAGGGACCTCAATGGAGGAGGAGGAGAGACAGATTATCTGCAGTTCAGTTGTGGTCTAAGAAGTCATGGACATGCTCCTGCTTATCCCTGAGAAGTGAACAATGACATCAGACAATTGTAATGGATTTTCAAGGACAGTTACAGGTTTTGGAAATTTGTCCCTGGAAATGTCCTTATTTTTGAGCACTGATAAAATCCCTGATTTTTGTATTTCTCACCTAATTCCTAAAAAATACTTATATAAGCTACTTTTTTAAATAAATATTGTATTTCAATATTTATATTTATTATGTAACAAGAGCTTGACAATTTTATTTAGTATACTATGACAAGGACATATTTTGAGTTAGTAGCTTAAATATATCTCCAATATCATACTATAGGAATGAGATGCTTTCTTTGACATAACACTGCCTGCAGAGGCTTGTGTTGGAAGACAAATGCAGACAGCTTTCTCAGCTATCAGCCAGGAAATTTGAACTGGCAGAACTGTTGAGGATTCCAATATAGTTCTCTGGGGACGCAAGAGCAAGAAGAAGGGTGAATACACAAGTCAGCCGCCACTTGGATTTTTTTGTTCTAATAAAGAAAAGCTTTCCAGCATCGTTTACATGAAAACTTTCTCAAAATATGGACCCCTTGGATCCAACATGCCCTTCCTACTATGTCAAAAGCCAATTACAAATTACTATAAACATTGAGACCCAGGGTCCAAGCTTGAGTGCCTTGATGTCCTCCCCTACTTCTCTTTCTTTCTCTCCCTTTCTTTTTTCTTCTTATTTTCTAAGCTCTTCCGCAGGGATGATTTTTGCGTTGCTCTTATGCACTTTTTTGTTTTGCTATCTGAATAGTGCATTTTTATACATTGATTTTTCATGCACTGACACCCGCTTCCTCAGTTAGGGCGTATTCCTGTTGCTACTTCTGCTGTTCTTCCTTCGATGGTCAATGGACCACTTTGATGCACCATAAGCTTTGTTTTTGTAACGGTTTCTGTTTATGATGTACTACTTCCACGGCTGGTAAGCTATTGATTACATGTATCTGTCTGTAAATATGACAGAGGTGACATTGTATACTTGGAAAAATGTTTCAATAAAAATGTATTGAAAGGAAAGGAGCTAAGGTTAATAGTGCACTTATGCTTTAAGGCTTGTAACAGAAGATTTTATTCCTAGGGGTCATGAGTGAGGTTAGAGGGAAGACTGCACTGTAGAACACAGGGCTCAGGGTAACTATTGGGAATGAAGAACTATGAGAAAAAAAGAACATAAAATACATTACAAAAATTACTTTATTTGAATTCATTCAGGTCAATTCCAGCTACAGCTAAGATTTTGCTCACAAAGCTGTAAAATATGCTTAAGTAATATGCCTAGTAAACAATGTGCTATACAGCTGGGCTAGAAATGCTGATTGTATAGTAATCTTCAAAAAAGAACCCATGAGAGACAGAGCCCCTGCTCTGCTGACATACTGTATTTATTAAAGAGGAACTCTATTATTTAAGTCCTTTATTTTTTAAAGAAAATTATATACAGTGATCAGCAAAAATGAGTACACCCCAACAGATTTATCAGAAAACCTTTACCGTATATACTCGAGTATAAGCCGACCTGAATATAAGCCGAGGTACCTAATTTTACCACAAAAAACTGGGAAAAACTATTGACTCGAGTATAAGCCGAGGGTGGGAACACCAGTGGGAAGAATCGTGCCTCATCATTGGTGTCAGTGGGAGGAATAGTGCCCCATCATTGGTGTCAGTGGGAGGAATAGTGCCCCATCATTGGTATCAGTGGGAGGAATAGTGCCCCATCATTGGTGTCAGTGGGAGGAATAGCGCCCCATCATTGGTGTCAGTGGGAGGAATAGTGCCCCATCATTGGTATCAGTGGCAGGAATAGTGCCCCATCATTAGTATCAGTGGGGGAATAGTACCCCATTATTGGTGTCAGTGAAATAGTGCCCCATCTTTGGTGTCAGTGGGAGGAATAGTGTCCCATCATTGGTGTCAGTGGGAGGAATAGTGTCCCAACATTGGTGTCAGTGGGAGGAATAGTATCCCATCATTGGTGTCAGTGGGGGGGTGGAGGAATAGTGCCCCATCGTTGGTGTCAGTGGGGGGGGGAGGAAAAGTGCCCCATCGTTGGTGCCAGTGGGGGGGAGGAATAGTATCCCATGATTGGTGTCAGTGGGGGTGGAATAGTGCTCCATGATTGGTGTCAGTGGGGGGTGGAATAGTGCCCCATCATTGGTGTCAGTGGGGGGGGAGGAATAGTGCCCAATCGTTGGTGTCAGTGGGGGGAAGGAAAAGTGCCCCATCGTTGGTGTCAGTGGGAGGAATAATGCCCCATCATTGGTATCAGTGACATCAACGATGGGGCACTATTCCTCCCACTGACACTTGCTGACCCCTGTTCCAGTATGGTGCTGCTGCATCCAGCATATGTGGTTGCAGCAGCACCTAAGCACGGCACACTTACCTGCATCTCCTTCACTCGATTTTTGCGGGGCCGCTCAGCTCCGCCTCCTCGCCGGTGATTGGCCGCCTGTGTGCCTTTCCTGAGCTACAGTTCTGGCGGCCAATCACCGGTGAGAAGGCGGAGCCGAGCAGCCGCGTGAACATCCAGTGGACGAACCGAATGAAGGAGCAGCCGCGCTTCCTGGACCGGATCATCGTGGGACCGGAGCCAGGTAAGAGACAGCAGCCCCCTGCAGACGTTGACTCGAGTATAAGCCGAGGGGGCCGTTTTTCAGCACAAAAAATGTGCTGAAAAACTCGGCTTATACTCGAGTATATACAGTACTTTCCTTTCAGAATCAACATTTTTATGGGACACTGTACTGCAAAATACTCCCAGAAATGCAGGTCATTGATTGCAAACAAGATTTGTTCATTTGCACACAAAAGAGGGGGGGGGGGCATCACCCCCCTGAATCCAATAAAATATAAAACACTATTTACTTTCTATTTAATTTATTGGATACATTATTTATTGGATTCAGGGGGGTGAAGTTCCCCTTCCCCTTTTTTTAGGTTTGAGTGGGGGTGAATATAGAGGCATATACTTATTAGCTAATTTTTTGCTATAGTGGCTTGGTACTACATTGTGATTATCAGCTATATTTATTAATTGTATCCGTTCTTAAATTTACAGGAATATGCATTGAGAATGTAGATCTTGGATATAGTTTTTGTTTTAATTATTATTTTATTCATTATTTTTCATTGATTATTTTTATATTTATTTCATTTAAATTTTATAATATTAAATTGGTTTTAGATTAGGTTATGATGATGCATTTATTATTGTAATTAAATATATATTTTGTGAAGTGTTTTATTTAATTGTTAGGATGAGGTGACCCTGTGCTATGGCGTTGTGGAAAGGGATTTTTAAATGGAGATATATTAAGGGATATTGTATTT